AACTACAAGTGGGGCTAGCCCTACCATTGGGTAGAGAGAGAGGTTACTGATGTGATCGGTTCAGAGGCAGACAAAGGGGCTCAGGTGCAAGAAGTCATAGGTGTGTATGCCCGATGCCCTGTCCGGTTTTGGTCATGCAGTCTGCTAACCTTGGTGGATGGAGTGATGTGGTGGGCAGTATCTTGTTCTTTTTGCCTCAGACTCACACATGAAGTGGGGCAATTTTTATCCCAATGAGGAGGTTGGCCAGCATCAGACAATAACAATTCCCAGCAGCTACATCGTGATCTGAACCTTTCGTATGTGGCGTTTGGCTTTCTAAGGAGGCGTCCTCTCCAGGCTAGAATGAAAAAGTGTTGGGTAGTGGTCAAGAGGTATGCTGAAGCCGTACTTAATTACGGTTTCAGTAAAAGATACCTTTAAAGGATATATATACTGTATGTATGTATGTATGTATGTATGTATGTATGTATGTATATATATATATCAGTATAAGTAATCGGAGGGGTGATAACAACTCAGAACAATCTGATATCATTTCATGGTCCATGAAAGAAAAGGTGAATTACAGATGGAAGTAAGCAAAAAAATAACAATGGAAATAATGAAAAAATCTCATTTTTCATCAAGCCCCCAATTTAAAAAATTGAAGGTAAGAGAGGAGATCAATGTTTATTTGAAATATTGTATGTCTGATTTGAATTGGATATACTGTACAGGTAGTCCTTGTTGAATGACCACCTGTTCAGCGACTGTTTGAAGTTATCATGGTGCTGAATGAGGGGGACTTATGACTGATCCTTGCAGTTGCAAGTGTCCCCACGGTCATGTGAACATGATTTGGCTGCTTGGCAACTGAGTCACAATTATGACGGTCGCAGCATCCCCTGACCACATGATCACTATTTGCGGCCTTCACTGGCAGCTTCCGACATGGAAAGTCAATGGGGAAGCCGGGAAGAGGGCACAAATGGGGATTGCGTGACCACGGGACGCTGCAACCATGTTTGGATTTACGTCATGGCACCAACTGTGACCGCCAGAACTGCCGTGATAAGTCGGCAGGGTCACGTGGCATTGCGCCTTACAACCGCGTTGCTTAGTGATGTTGTTCCTGGCTACCCTTGAAGAGGATCCAGAAGCTACAGCTGGCAGAAAATGGTGCAGCACCGGCAGTTTTGAATGCCCCCAGGGGCACATAGAACACCTGTTAC